GGTCTTAGCTGCGACTGAAGGCGTACGACCGTGTTCATAAAACGGTCATCTCGGTCGTAAGTAGCGGTCGTAAGATAAGATCGCAGTTACGACCGTCTTTGTTGATAAAACTGCACCATGGTGTCTAAATAAAAAAGCTTAAAAGGTAATAGTAGCTCAAGGTAAATTTGACCAACTTAATTTTCATTTCTAATTTATATGGATTTTGAATAAGCCCATGTTAAAAATGGTGGTTGTGATGATGTTTGAAATAAGAGGGTAGTGGTATTGTGATGATGGCGAGTGGCAATGATAGTTGATTTGTGGATAATGATAGGGGTGGTAGTTGTTATTCTGGGAAAAAGGACGATGACGGTGGTGGTGACGATAATGATTATGATGATGATGATGATAATAATAATAATAATAATGATGATAATGAAGGTGATGACAATGGTGTTGTGATGATGATGATTATTTTTGTGAGGATGAAAATCAAAATAGTAGGGATGACGGTGACGTCAATGGTGACTGATTTTGTTGTAATGATGATAGTGATGATAATGATGGTGGTGTTTATGGTGGTTGTTACGGTGATGGTAATCAAGATGGTGATGGTGACGGTTGCGAAGGGCATGATTGCTATTGTGATGATGATGGTGATGGTAATGGTGAAGATCATGATGATGATTTTTGTAAGGATGGTGATCAAGATAGTTGGGATGATTACAGTGATGGTGGCGACAATGGTGACTGTTTTTGTTGCAATAATGATGATAATGATGGTGGTGGTGATGATGGTTTTGATTGCGGTGGTAATGAAGATGGTGGTGATGGTGATTGATGCGATGTTGATGATGGTGTAAGTTGTGACGGGGGTAATACGATTTGTTATGTTAATTGGTAAAAACATGTTTGCGACAACGCTGTATTGCGTTGTAACACGGCATCCCATCAGGACATTCATTTATAACCAATTCAGAAGTAAGTGTATTTATACGAAACGGTCATTTTTTGTCACAAGTTAAATCAAGATATCAATAATTTAACAAGTCATAAACATTTCAGTCATAAATCATTATGCCTTTGTTTGCCAAATATTTACATGTAGGCGAGAAGTGAAACTTTCTTAAATGTTTGTCATTCAATAATTATTTATTTTGCTTATATAATACTTAGCTAAAAAGAGCAAACGATAACTAAAACAGTACCCATTTGTTTTCACTTTCCGTTCTTTTGTGTTCCGAGTTCCCTGTGTTTTTCTAAACTAATTAAGATAAAATTATATTCACAGCGCATTTTAAGGTTTATAAAATTTAATATATTTGGATGTAAATAAATTTTAAAAGAATATAAACCAAGAACAATTTCAATGAAAACTGAGTTTGCAACGGTTTCCTGTCACTTGTTAGTATTTGCTTAAAATGTTTTTGGTTGAAAAAATGGATTAATTCCCTCCGTTTGTCTTACCGTCTGAACGTACAATTTTGAACTCAAATTTCTCAACGTTCATGACATGAAACATAAAATTTTCAAATACACAGACCTGGAAGAAATATATAAGTTTCAAAATGAATCAAATGCTCATCAAACTATAGCCAAATTATTGTAACATTGATACTTATTTATAACAGAGTTATTTGTATCACTAAGAATATGCAAAATGTGTTTCGTACTTTAAATTCTGTAAGCGACATTTAGCCAATTCAAGCATTTAGAGTGAGCGAACAGGTAAAAATGAAAATATATTCACATTTTGCATTACCAATATTTCTTTTCAATTTTATAATTATTATTTTCCTTTTACATTTTCCAATATGAACATTTGGTCAGTCACTGTTATAAAAGTCACTCTTGTAGAATATAAAGTCAAATCAGCTCAATTTAACAATGTATAAAATAGAATGTCAATTCAAATTCCAAAATATCCGCAATATTTTGCTTAAAATGTGAGTTGTGTACTGTTAAGTTGAAGAGTAAACATTGACAACAACCATGTTCAAGAAAACATGTATAAATGTATTCACAATATAATAATCTTTTGAAGGTGTGAACTTTGTGAAGGAGTATTTAGCTTAACATCAAAAGGAGGATGAAAGCAAAGCATCATATAGAAAATCAGTTACGCATTTTTTAGACGTTTATATGTAAGGAACAAAACTTAGGGACGATCCCTGGTTCTACTCAGGTACCCGCTTGTACCTAGAATAGCAAGAAGAAGCAACTTAGTTTTCTTTTACCAGTAAAACTTGTCACCGGGCAAGATAACTGTAGCAATACATCGAATGTTTGTTCCAAAAAAGTCAAGCTAAAATTAATTTATGCAAAACTTGTTGGCCAGGTTTTTATGTGCTCTTTTATGTTGGTTCATTAGACTCTATAATGGCATACCCTACTCCTGCAATGCAATCCTAAAATTGGTAAATTAAACACTGATACATAATTTAATATTTTTTTGCCGTTCAGAAACATAGAAAGAAAACTTACCTGTTTTCCACACAATGTTTTTGGACTTCTTGTTCGTTCGTATTTCAATAAGTCTTTTCAACAATCTTTCGCAAAGGTGATGTTTACATGTGATTACCCATTCCTTTTCTTTTGTTATTTTGTTTCTTTTGACAACAGCAAAGCCGACATTCATATCGTGGATAAATTGTTCTAAGTGTTTTATTTCTTCGATAGTAAATGTTTCCAAATGATCTATCCAAACAGTTCGAATATGACCACTCAGAGCATCTCTCATTGACTCTAAAGCCGCCGGTCCTTTCGTCCATATCAAAAAGCTAGGGTTTTGAAGAATGTCAGACATTCCTTTCCAATTTTAATAAATCTGAAATATTCCAAGAATACTCCTATTAACAGGCTTTTCAACAAATATTTTCATACATAAATAGACATTTGAATGAATATCTAAAATTAAATTCGAATAATGTAAAATTGATAACAAGTACCTAATATTTTACACAATATTACAGCATTGTAATTGTTTTGTAACTGCACAATTATAAAGGAAATAGTTTTCAGATTCTTTCAAACTTACCTCAATAATAATAAGAATGTGGAATGATATAAAAATAAGAAAAGTACCTTTTGATGATATTTTTATCCAATATTATAAAAAACGACCATAGTTGGATGATTTTTGGTTTGTTTGGTTTCATGACGTACAGACACAAATTCAGTCATATGGCGCCGAAACTGGACAGATGAGTTTGGCTAACCACCGGTGTAACAAATATAAAGTAACACCAGCGGTCAAATGAGCATCACCTGCTTCAGTTTAGTGATACATAGACTCAAGTTATTCGACCGATTTTTTCGCCTCCTGCAGTGGCATACTTTGCAATGCTGATGCCTTACCCCTTTAAGGCAACAACCTCAACCCCTCAGCCAAAAGGTGTGCGGGGGAGGTATTATGTATATACTTAAATGTACAAATCAATAATGAAGATATTGTCGTATATCATGGACATCCAATGATAATCGAATATACTAAGAAAGGCGTTAGACTGATAATTTATGTCTCTTCCATACATAGATTTTGACGTTTCAGGCTGTATTTGGTCAGGAACATGCTTCACTATATGACATCAGTACATATTAGTTCTAAAAAGTGAATATTGAATAAATGTGAACATTATTTAAATTATTATGATATATGTGTGTGTTGTAAGGGTATTTTACATGTATCTTTTTTTTCCTCTGCACATTGAGAAAGAAATTTCAACATAATTGTTATAATATGTTGTATATCATGAAATATTTTTTTATGAAATTATCTATCTCTCTTTCATATTATGTAAATATCAAATTTAGCATTACCTGTTTACAACAAACACAATATGACATCACAACTTAATGATGTCATAAATGAGGGCACATGTCGTAACGCGGAAAGATATCAGTAAAATGACCTAAAACCACTTATAGCATGAAAAAATTTATAACATTTGCTTGCTTTGTTTCTATTGTAAAATGTAAGAACATATGCCAAGACATCAGGAATCTGTAATGACATGTTAGATCTGTAACGCGAAAAGACTTTAGTAAGACAACCTCACTCCATACCAACCACAATTCTTTAAGAAAGATACACACTTTGCTCTGTGGGCGCCATGCAAAACATAAAAATACGACAATAGCGTTTGTAAGGCGGCCTTTCAAAAATTCCATATTTTCAATTTTTCTTACCGCTATTTTAATGTATACACATCTATCAACACTTATTTTTTGTCTGTAACAATCCTCAAATAAGTTTTCTTACCTCTAAAATATGAATGACTAATAAAACAAATAGCATCCCTCTGAATAAAACACAATCATTTTCCTCCTGTGAAATACACAAATTTTTAATATGGCGGCAGCTTACATTTCACAGAGGCAGGTCTAACATAAATCGCCTTAATTAACAGAAATAAGGATGGATGGTTTGACTTTTTCTCCTACTAGAATTGTTTGTTTTTATTATTAAAACAAGCGATCATTCATATTATTTGAATAAAATGAATAATATTATCGCCATTTAACGTTGATTGTCGAACTTATTTTTCAGCCCAATACTTCTTGTATTTTATGAAAAATTCAACTAATAGAGGCTACAGGTGGGAAAAAAAGACTTTAAAATTAAAGTTAATGTATCGACTTTACGACAATACAACGACATACGTATTTATGATCAGATAACACGATACGTACATATTTACTATTGATTTATTTTTCTTCTTTAAATCCTTTGTCGTAATATGAAATGACATTGAATTCAAAAATATTTGCGTTCGCTTCATTCCGTTAAAATTGGGAAATTATATATTGTCAAATAATATAATAGCTCATTTTAAAAGAAAATTGGCGTGGCTTGATTTAGAAAAAAAAATAGAAACAAACTTGTTATTACCGGTTCTTGAAGTTTTGCATAATCGTCAACTACATGGAATGCAGAAAAAATAAAACATTGCTTATTTGGAATTATCTGCCATTGAAATAAACAAAATATTCAAATTCAATACAACTAAAAATGAACAATGAGGTCAGTTACGTCTATTTTGTTTCTCCCAAACTTTTTCTTTTACCATAATTTAAGATGATGCAATGGTCAAATAATTCCATAATTTAATTTCATTTTTCTATACGTATTTATGTTTTAATGTTTTGAAACATTCCGACTGTTGCAATTGATATTTATTTTTCAAATATTATTATAGGCACTATAATTTCAGTTAATCTATTTCAGGCTCATCATCATGTACAGTTTCAAAGACTACAGAGTGATACAAACGTTGTTTTTTAATCGCCACTAAGAATTGAATAACAAAATACTAAACAAATATTCAGATTCTTAACCGTCTGCAAATAATTCTTTAATGTAACTTCCTGTCACATAATATAATTCAAATAGCAGCCACAAAATAAAACTGACAATGTATAATTCTTTACACCTTATTTATAAGCGCATAACAGAAATATATTTAATAAAAAATTTAGAAAGACTATACAAAATGACAATGGTGTTGTGATGATGATGATTATTTTTGTGAGGATGAAAATCAAAATAGTAGGGATGACGGTGACGTCAATGGTGACTGATTTTGTTGTAATGATGATAGTGATGATAATGATGGTGGTGTTTATGGTGGTTGTTACGGTGATGGTAATCAAGATGGTGATGGTGACGGTTGCGAAGGGCATGATTGCTATTGTGATGATGATGGTGATGGTAATGGTGAAGATCATGATGATGATTTTTGTAAGGATGGTGATCAAGATAGTTGGGATGATTATAGTGATGGTGGCGACAATGGTGACTGTTTTTGTTGCAATAATGATGATAATGATGGTGGTGGTGATGATGGTTTTGATTGCGGTGGTAATGAAGATGGTGGTGATGGTGATTGATGCGATGTTGATGATGGTGTAAGTTGTGACGGGGGTAATACGATTTGTTATGTTAATTGGTAAAAACATGTTTGCGACAACGCTGTATTGCGTTGTAACACGGCATCCCATCAGGACATTCATTTATAACCAATTCAGAAGTAAGTGTATTTATACGAATCGGTCATTTCTTGTCACAAGTTAAATCAAGATATCAATAATTTAACAAGTCATAAACATTTCAGTCATAAATCATTATGCCTTTGTTTGCCAAATATTTACATGTAGGCGAGAAGTGAAACTTTCTTAAATGTTTGTCATTCAATAATTATTTATTTTGCTTATATAATACTTAGCTAAAAAGAGCAAACGATAACTAAAACAGTACCCATTTGTTTTCACTTTCCGTTCTTTTGTGTTCCGAGTTCCCTGTGTTTTTCTAAACTAATTAAGATAAAATTATATTCACAGCGCATTTTAAGGTTTATAAAATTTAATATATTTGGATGTAAATAAATTTTAAAAGAATATAAACCAAGAACAATTTCAATGAAAACTGAGTTTGCAACGGTTTCCTGTCACTTGTTAGTATTTGCTTAAAATGTTTTTGGTTGAAAAAATGGATTAATTCCCTCCGTTTGTCTTACCGTCTGAACGTACAATTTTGAACTCAAATTTCTCAACGTTCATGACATGAAACATAAAATTTTCAAATACACAGACCTGGAAGAAATATATAAGTTTCAAAATGAATCAAATGCTCATCAAACTATAGCCAAATTATTGTAACATTGATACTTATTTATAACAGAGTTATTTGTATCACTAAGAATATGCAAAATGTGTTTCGTACTTTAAATTCTGTAAGCGACATTTAGCCAATTCAAGCATTTAGAGTGAGCGAACAGGTAAAAATGAAAATATATTCACATTTTGCATTACCAATATTTCTTTTCAATTTTATAATTATTATTTTCCTTTTACATTTTCCAATATGAACATTTGGTCAGTCACTGTTATAAAAGTCACTCTTGTAGAATATAAAGTCAAATCAGCTCAATTTAACAATGTATAAAATAGAATGTCAATTCAAATTCCAAAATATCCGCAATATTTTGCTTAAAATGTGAGTTGTGTACTGTTAAGTTGAAGAGTAAACATTGACAACAACCATGTTCAAGAAAACATGTATAAATGTATTCACAATATAATAATCTTTTGAAGGTGTGAACTTTGTGAAGGAGTATTTAGCTTAACATCAAAAGGAGGATGAAAGCAAAGCATCATATAGAAAATCAGTTACGCATTTTTTAGACGTTTATATGTAAGGAACAAAACTTAGGGACGATCCCTGGTTCTACTCAGGTACCCGCTTGTACCTAGAATAGCAAGAAGAAGCAACTTAGTTTTCTTTTACCAGTAAAACTTGTCACCGGGCAAGATAACTGTAGCAATACATCGAATGTTTGTTCCAAAAAAGTCAAGCTAAAATTAATTTATGCAAAACTTGTTGGCCAGGTTTTTATGTGCTCTTTTATGTTGGTTCATTAGACTCTATAATGGCATACCCTACTCCTGCAATGCAATCCTAAAATTGGTAAATTAAACACTGATACATAATTTAATATTTTTTTGCCGTTCAGAAACATAGAAAGAAAACTTACCTGTTTTCCACACAATGATTTTGGACTTATTGTTCGTTCGTATTTCAATAAGTCTTTTCAACAATCTTTCGCAAAGGTGATGTTTACATGTGATTACCCATTCCTTTTCTTTTGTTATTTTGTTTCTTTTGACAACAGCAAAGCCGACATTCATATCGTGGATAAATTGTTCTAAATGGTTTATTTCTTCAAGGGTAAATGTTTCCAAATGATCTATCCAGACAGCTTGAATATGACCACTCAGAGCATTTCTCATTGCCTCTAAAGCCGCCGGTCCTTTCGTCCATATCAAAAAGCTAGGGTTTTGAAGAATGTCAGACATTCCTTTCCAATTTTAATAAATCTGAAATATTCCAAGAATACTCCTATTAACAGGCTTTTCAACAAATATTTTCATACATAAATAGACATTTGAATGAATATCTAAAATTAAATTCGAATAATGTAAAATTGATAACAAGTACCTAATATTTTACACAATATTACAGCATTGTAATTGTTTTGTAACTGCACAATTATAAAGGAAAAGAGTTTTCAGATTCTTTCAAACTTACCTCAATAATAATAAGAATGTGGAATGATATAAAAATAAGAAAAGTACCTTTTGATGATATTTTTATCCAATATTATAAAAAACGACCATAGTTGGATGATTTTTGGTTTGTTTGGTTTCATGACGTACAGACACAAATTCAGTCATATGGCGCCGAAACTGGACAGATGAGTTTGGCTAACCACCGGTGTAACAAATATAAAGTAACACCAGCGGTCAAATGAGCATCACCTGCTTCAGTTTAGTGATACATAGACTCAAGTTATTCGACCGATTTTTTCGCCTCCTGCAGTGGCATACTTTGCAATGCTGATGCCTTACCCCTTTAAGGCAACAACCTCAACCCCTCAGCCAAAAGGTGTGCGGGGGGAGGTATTATGTATATACTTAAATGTACAAATCAATAATGAAGATATTGTCGTATATCATGGACATCCAATGATAATCGAATATACTAAGAAAGGCGTTAGACTGATAATTTATGTCTCTTCCATACATAGATTTTGACGTTTCAGGCTGTATTTGGTCAGGAACATGCTTCACTATATGACATCAGTACATATTAGTTCTAAAAAGTGAATATTGAATAAATGTGAACATTATTTAAATTATTATGATATATGTGTGTGTTGTAAGGGTATTTTACATGTATCTTTTTTTCCTCTGCACATTGAGAAAGAAATTTCAACATAATTGTTATAATATGTTGTATATCATGAAATATTTTTTATGAAATTATCTATCTCTCTTTCATATTATGTAAATATCAAATTTAGCATTACCTGTTTACAACAAACACAATATGACATCACAACTTAATGATGTCATAAATGAGGGCACATGTCGTAACGCGGAAAGATATCAGTAAAATGACCTAAAACCACTTATAGCATGAAAAAATTTATAACATTTGCTTGCTTTGTTTCTATTGTAAAATGTAAGAACATATGCCAAGACATCAGGAATCTGTAATGACATGTTAGATCTGTAACGCGAAAAGTCTTTAGTAAGACAACCTCACTCCATACCAACCACAATTCTTTAAGAAAGATACACACTTTGCTCTGTGGGCGCCATGCAAAACATAAAAATACGACAATAGCGTTTGTAAGGCGGCCTTTCAAAAATTCCATATTTTCAATTTTTCTTACCGCTATTTTAATGTATACACATCTATCAACACTTATTTTTTGTCTGTAACAATCCTCAAATAAGTTTTCTTACCTCTAAAAATATGAATGACTAATAAAACAAATAGCATCCCTCTGAATAAAACACAATCATTTTCCTCCTGTGAAATACACAAATTTTTAATATGGCGGCAGCTTACATTTCACAGAGGCAGGTCTAACATAAATCGCCTTAATTAACAGAAATAAGGATGGATGGTTTGACTTTTTCTCCTACTAGAATTGTTAGTTTTAATTATTAAAGCAAGCGATCATTCATATTATTTGAATAAAATTAATAATATCATCGCCATTTAACGTTGATTGTCGAACTTATTTTTCAGCCCAATACTTCTTGTATTTTATGAAAAATTCAACTAATAGAGGCTACAGGTGGAAAAACCGATTTCAATATTAATGTTAATGTATCGACTTTACGACAATACAACGACATACGTATTTATGATGAGGTAACACGATACGTACATATTTACTATTGATTTATTTTTCTTCTTTAAATCCTTTGTCGTAATATGAAATGACATTGAATTCAAAAATATTTGCGTTCGCTTCATTCCGTTAAAATTGGGAAATTATATATTGTCAAATAATATAATAGCTCATTTTAAAAGAAAATTGGCGTGGCTTGATTTAGAAAAAAAAATAGAAACAAACTTGTTATTACCGGTTCTTGAAGTTTTGCATAATCGTCAACTACATGGAATGCAGAAAAAATAAAACATTGCTTATTTGGAATTATCTGCCATTGAAATAAACAAAATATTCAAATTCAATACAACTAAAAATGAACAATGAGGTCAGTTACGTCTATTTTGTTTCTCCCAAACTTTTTCTTTTACCATAATTTAAGATGATGCAAAGGTCAAATAATTCCATAATTTAATTTCATTTTTCTATACGTATTTATGTTTTAATGTTTTGAAACATTCCGACTGTTGCAATTGATATTTATTTTTCAAATATTATTATAGGCACTATAATTTCAGTTAATCTATTTCAGGCTCATCATCATGTACAGTTTCAAAGACTACAGAGTGATACAAACGTTGTTTTTTAATCGCCACTAAGAATTGAATAACAAAATACTAAACAAATATTCAGATTCTTAACCGTCTGCAAATAATTATTTATTGTAACTTCCTGTCACATAATATAATTCAAATAGCAGCCACAAAATAAAACTGACAATGTATAATTCTTTACACCTTATTTATAAGCGCATAACAGAAATATATTTAATAAAAAATTTAGAAAGACTGTACAAAATGAATTAGAAATATTCATCAAATTTTTCCATTAGATGTATTTTATTTGTGGCTGCATGTTCACTGTATTGCTCTAAAGAAAAGGTTACTTACATTGTATTTATTACATATCAGTACACGAGTTTCTATACAAGTGTAATCCTGAAGGATATTGCTGACGTCAAACTCGTACCATAACGGTTTTTTTTAATTGAGAATTCAAATCCAAGGAGTATATTTTGAAAGCGCTAAATATTTATAAAGTATTGTGCACTGTTTAATGTATAAATTCAACACTCATAAATTTTGCAAAAATCAAATCACTCTCCGATCCTCATGCCTGCCTAGTTAATCCACTCAAATGAAAAGT